CATTGGCCCGGCTGTCATGTGGTCGCGCGGAGGCATCCGCAATTACACCGGGAATGTTTTCCTAGAGATGTCAGCCTACAAAGGACACAATCTCTCTTCCTCAAATTCCGCCCCAAAATGTCCTTTCCCAACAGCTCTCCTGCCGCTAATACTTTTTTAGTAGATTCTCTCATCAGTGCGTGCAGGAGTGACAGTTTCTACTCCAACAGCGCCAGCATGTATATGCCACCTAGCACAGACATTGGGACGTATGGGATGCAAACCTGTGGACTCCTTCCGTCTCTGGCTAAGAGAGAAGTTAATCACCAAAATATGGGTATGAATGTACATCCTTATATACCTCAAGTAGACACTTGGACAGACCCGAACAGATCTTGTCGAATAGAGCAACCTGTTACACAGCAGGTCCCCACTTGTTCCTTCACTACAAATATTAAAGAAGAAAGCAATTGCTGCATGTATTCCGATAAGAGATCCAAACTCATTTCTGCAGACGTCCCTTCCTACCAGAGGCTGGTGTCTGAATCATGCCCCATTGAGAACCCCGAGGTTCCCGTCCCAGGATATTTTAGACTGAGCCAGACCTACGCCACTGGGAAAACCCAAGAGTACAATAATAGCCCTGAAACGAGTTCAACTGTAATGTTACAGTTAAACCCTCGCGGCAGCTCCAAACCGCAGATATCTGCTCAACTTCAGCTGGAAAAGAAAATGAATGAAAACCCGAACAACCAAGACAGCACCGCTAAAGTCTCTCAAGTGGAAAGTCCCGAGCCCAAGTCCACGTTGCAAGACGAGCGGAGCTGCCTGCCCGAAGGCTCCGTGTCCAGCCCAGAAGTCCAGGAGAAGGAGAGTAAAGGTCTGTATTATCGAGTTTAAGCCGTACCGTGGTGTAACTCCAACACGCTAGCACCATAAAGCACGCTCGAATATACTAACGAGCATCACAGCCATCACATTTAATGCTAAGGAGTGTCGGGCTGCAGGTGCTGTGTCTCTGAAGATTTGGGCAGGCAAAAATGTCACACGAAAGGGTCCAGAGATTTTCTGTAGAAATCTGCCTCTCTGGTCCATGCAGACCGCTTCTGCGATGCGGGGAATAGAGCCGTGTGCTCCTTAATGCGCTGCAGCAGCCAAAGGCAGCCCCATATCTCTAAAAAAGCAGATCTGGAGGTTGTAAAATACGACCAGCTCAACTTTTTTCTCGTAATATTTCGCTGGGGTATTTTTTTCTTTTCTTTTTTTTTTTTTCCACTGAGCCTTGCTGCGCTTTGATTGCATTTAAAGTTAATTACGATCCTATTAAAATAGGTGAGGAATAGGTGCTACCAGACTGGGTAAAGTTGGAAACAAATGCACAATGAAAGCAGCAGTCTGCTATCTTCCTAATACAAAGGTGAAGTATTTCAATGTGGTGCTTTAGATAACCTTGGATCGGTCTACAAAAGTACATCAGTATTTTGAAATGCGTGTGAAAGCTAAAGATGGTGGTTATTTTATTTATCCTTTGAAAGTGTACTGAAGCCTTCCTTTCGAATGGCGTGTATCAAAGAATCCCAAAAGGGAAAATTTTCCCGTATCAAAATGTACTTTGCAACCTCTAGGTCGATTTTTAACCTATGTGTACATGGAGATTCTCTTTAACTGAATTATATCTAATAGCCTAGGTTTGGGCTGATGTGGGGCAGTTTTCTTTCTGGCGGGGAAAAGTAATCTCAAAAGAAAATGAAAAAAAATTCCAGGCAGAGTGTGTTAATTTCTTCCGTATCTTTTTGACTGGGAAAACGTCCATGTCTGTTCCTAGGTGTGCTTGTGTAATTCAGCTGGTGGCTGGGGGGATGGCTGCTTCCAAATACAGTGCGAGGGTACTTTGTAATTGGGATATTTTAGTAGCAAGTGTCGTGGGAGCCTGAGGCGGCCATGGCGAGGCAAAACCCGTAAAAATGTGGCCGTGGGGCTGATGGCAGCTTAAATACTGTTGAAATGCTAAACGCCAGCGGAAAACTTGAGAGCCCTTTTCTGGCAGGGGTGCAGGCAGCCGCAACGCAAGGGTGCTGTGGTGGGGACGGGCGAGCCTAGCCTGGTAGCAGGTCCGCTCTCTGTGCCCACACCTCACCCGAGCTGTGTTTAATGCCCATATCCAGTATATCCGCCAGATACTGCAGAGGAGGGGTCATGGCCAAGGGTACACTCTAACAGCCTGAGGTATTTTTTATTTTTTTTTTCTCCTTCTTTGATTTTGATAGAGGAAATCAAGTCTGATACTCCAACAAGCAATTGGCTAACTGCAAAGAGTGGCAGAAAGAAGAGGTGTCCTTATACTAAACACCAAACACTGGAATTAGAGAAAGAGTTCTTATTCAATATGTATCTCACTCGAGAGCGCCGTCTAGAGATCAGTAAGAGTGTAAACCTCACTGACAGGCAGGTCAAGATTTGGTTTCAAAACCGCAGAATGAAGCTCAAGAAGATGAGCAGGGAGAACCGAATCCGGGAACTGACCGCTAATCTGACCTTCTCTTAAACCCTAACCCCGGGGGGGGCACCAGTGAGGAATGGGCACAGCACCGCCACTTGCTAAAGGCAGGAGAGACTCTGGCAAAACCTGGCATTTTCCAGTTTTGTTTTGTTTTATTTTGGTTTTTTTTCTGATAGAATGTGACTCTTCGTCCTTCTTTTAGCGCTGCAAGTGAATATGTATTACTATGATGAGTATATATAAAACCTAGCACGTGTAATTTATTTTTGTTCTCATCGTCATGCAGGGTAACTATTATTGAATATTATCATTTGGTCTTAACTTATTGGAATTGTCGAACATCCAAGCAATGTGACTTTTTCATGTTTTTACTAACAAAATGGTATTTATGTGGGGCTGTTACACGGGCCATAACATTTTGAGTACATTCAATACTTTGAGAAAAAAAAAGGGGGGGCGAAACTTTGGGGGCGGGGGAAAAGAGAAGCACATTATAATGTAACTATCCTCGCAAATGGACTTAGAGATTGTTCTTCGTAAAATGGAGTATTTCCTTCTTCACCATTGTAGACATTTCCTTGTGGTGCATATGTGGAATAGTAGTCGTTCAGCAGCAATATGTCCTTGTGCATGTTCTGTTCGCATGTATAATGCAATAAACTCTGTAAACTACTGCGGTTCCTTTGGTTTTCTACAAATGTTTTAAAGTACAGATGCAGGTTGGTCGCCTGATCTTTCTCTATCAGCAACTCCTTGAACTGATGTACCTTCTTTGCTATTTTCTGGTCTTTGTGTGTCTCTGCCTGGTTTTGTTTCTTTCTTTCTCCCCCCCTCCCCTTTTTTCCCCCCTTCCTTTTTTTTTTAGGGGTGGGGTGGAGACTGGAGTGGGAAATGATGTAAACCTAATTCATTTATAATTGTGCTTGTAAACAAATGATTAATTGATAAAATGTTGTGTGATGTTCGCAGTCTGACAAACTGAATGCAAAAAAAAAAAAAAAGGAGAAAGAAAAAAAAAGAAAAACATAGTAAAATATTATGACCTAAACTGGACATCCTCATCCAATCAACTCGTAAATGGTAAGTGATAAAAAATCTTTCTACTACAAGCTGTCAGCAATATGTGTGTCATTTTATTTGACGTTAGTATGTTGATTTAAAAAATATCAGTCACTGCGTGCTTACAATGTGTAGACTTTGATTGCGTGCCTTTACTCGCTTAAAAAAAAAATCATTCCAAATGCAAAACTGGATATAAGCAAATATTAAAAAGTTTGTTTCTTTGTAAGCTCAAGAGCTTTCAGAAGATGGTGGATGGGAAAATATTCCCTCAAACATCTGGTAAGGTTGGCTTTTTTGAGCAGAAACGCTCCAAAGCGTGCTTGCAAAAGTGCATCAGCCTCTTCAGACCTACTTTTGTCACCCTGCACCGTTTCTGTTTGCTCAGAGACCGTTTTATTTCGTGCAGTTCCATTTTAGTAGCACACATCCAGATAATGAAGTTCACGACTTTAACCCTTTCTATACTTAGGTGAAAAATGTTGTTAGCAAGGCTCTCTACTGGAAGCTGGGGAAGGGCATGTGTGTATGTGAGAGCGACTTGAGTGCCTGTGTGAGCAGAAATACTAAGCAGAACTGCAAATGGCTTGCAAATGAACATGACTCCAAATTGAAGTGCAAATACTTGGGCATATTTTCTCCTTCAAACAGTGCTGGAAAAATAGCGTGGCTACTGTTTGGGCTGGGAAACCAGCTTCCTCACAATCAACTCCCATTCCTCGTCTAAGCAGTTTCTAATTCAAGAAATTAAGCTCAAGATAGTGCCAATGTTGTCTGACTTGGTAACACTGATACTGCTCATATTGCAGCTGGTGGCGTTGTGTTTTGCTCTCTTGTCGCTGATATTTTATTTAAGCCAATACTTTCTCATGCATACGTTTACTCTCAGGGCAGATGTATATTTTCCTCAAACCAAAGCGTCACCATTTTGAAGCTGGGGGAGCCGCAAGCACGTAGGTATTTTGTGTTTGCTCTCGTTTCGAAAACAAACAGCAAAACGGTGCCCAAAAAAACCCACAAAAAACACAACCAAGCCAACCCTCTTTAAATATTGCATACATCTGAATCGTTTTGTCCCTCAAAAATACTAGCTACATCACGAAAGAAGTTTCAGCAGTGGAATGTAATTACCTGGCTCCATACCAAGTGTTTAACGTATATATACATATATAAAAAAAAGGAGACTCACTCTAATCTGCCTGCTTTATCGATTTATATCTTTGTGAAAGGAGGGGCAATTATTCTCTACGCCACAAACCCTTCTTCTACGGAAAAAAAAATGTAAGAGAAGTATGAAAACGCAAAGCAAAATGATAAAGCGAGATCAAAAAAAAAAAGTTTGATAAAAAAAGAGGGGGGAAGAAAGAAGAAAAAAGGAAGAAAACAACCAAAGAGAGTAATAAATCATTGAATAAACAGGAATTTCAGTCCCTTCCTCATAACGGCCGGCGAGTAGGAAGTGTTTTCCCAGCGCTGTTGTTTGTGCCCTCGGCGGGCTGTGCTGCGGGCTCTCCGCTAACTGTGTGCCTTCCCTCCAGATCCCAACACAGCCACCGGCCCTCGCTAGGGAGAGCAGGCGTGGGCAGAAGACCATGGGTAATTCAGTTTTCAGTACTAACCGGGCATAGTTTCGTTCGGGGAAGGATAACTGGGCCGGGAGGGAAGGGAGAGAAAAGAAAGCAAGGCGGATTAAAAAAAAAATAAAAAACCCATAGGCATTGAACGTGGCCAGCGCGGTCCGGCTCCCCCTGAACTAGGGGCGGAGGAGGCAGATCTGCCGGCGAACGGGGGCAGCGGGCCCGAAGCCTTCCTGGTTGCCTCCCCTCCTGCCTCCTCTCCCGCCTGCCCGCGCGGCCTCCGCTCCTGCTCCGCGGCAGCGGAGCTGCCCTTGGCCTCTCCTCCGGGGAGGGGAACTCCCGGGCCGGCGCTGGCCCCCGTCAGGGGCCTGCACTGGAGCTGTGCAGCCCCAAAGTTTCGCAGATACAGGAGCATGTGTTTAGCCACACGTCAGTTGTGCTGGGAGACACAGGCTTTGCTGTTTCCATCCGTCCATTTTATTAGGGACACATTAATCTATAATCAAATACACCTCATAAAATTTTTATTGAAAGGCATAAAATCATTACAGAGGTCTTCCACCTGTCATAAAATTTTTATTGAAAGGCATAAAGTCATTACAGAGGTCTTCCACCTGTTTTAAAACAACACAATGGGCATCTCTTTTGAAAAGTGTATCCTTTCCATGGAAACTTTCTGTCCGGGGGTGAGGGGGGAGCGAATAATAATACCCGCACATGCTCTGAAATATGGAAGTACCGCAATGTGCTTTTACTGTAACATTTTCCTGTTTTATGAGAAGTCGTTACAGTCCCAGCTTGCGATGGTTTGTTTTTACAGGCAAGAATCCCCCTTTCCCAGCGGGTTTCCTCGGCAGCTCGGAGTGTGATTAGCAAGCCAAGGCTGTTGGATTTATTTAAACACCCTGCCTCTCATTGATTAAGAAATGAATGGCAGAAATCACTCAAAAGGAGGTGAAGAAAT